ACTGGTATGGAGAAGGAATAATATATGAAGTTGATGCTGATGCTGCTGATGATGATGATGCTGATGCTGGTTATGATGATGCTGATGATGATGATGCTGCTGATGATGATGATGATGTTGGTGTTATTGGTGTTTTGCTTGTTGTTGGTGTTATTGGTGTTGTTGCGGTTATTGGTGTTGTTGCTGTTGGTGTCGTTGTTGATGATGATGCAGATGCTGGTGATGCTGATGCTGATGCTGATGCTGCTGCTGCTGACGATGATGAGTATGATGATGATGCTGATGATGATGATGATGATGGTGATGGTGATGGTGATGATGATGGTGCTGATGCTGCTGCTGCTGCTGATGCTGATGCTGATGCTGATGATGAGGACTGATGCTGTTGTTGATGATGATGCGGATGCTGATGCAGATGATGCTGCTGCTGATGATGATCATCATCATGATGATGCTGCTGCTGATGATGACGATGACGATGATGATGATGATGATGATGATGATGATGATGATGATGATGATGATGATGATGATGAACATGATGATGAACATGATGATGATGATGATGATGATGATGATGATGATGCTGATGCTGATGCTGATGCTGATGCTGATGATGATGATGATGATGATGATGATGATGATGATGATGATGATGATGATGATGATGATGATGATGATTGCTGCTGATGGTGATGAGGAGGCGGAGGAGGAGGAGCAGGAGGAGGAGGAGGATCATGCGAAGCGAGGAAGGACGATTACGGCCAGGATGGTGGAGCGATTGCTGACAGAGGGGTTAAGGATGCGTCGGCGGAGGTCATGGAGGAGTAGGAGGATGAGAAGGAGGAGGCGGTTGAGATTTCCATCATGTCCTTCTGGGGCGACTCATGCTGGAGTTGTCTTGGTATCCGTCTCGGGAACGCTCCCCGACGAAACTTTCTGACGAGGGACGCGTGAAGGAGGAGGAGGGGAGAAGTGGCGCTCGTCCTTCTCACTCCACTTTCCTCCCTTCTTCCTCCTTCAAGAGGGCGGACGGAGGCAAGAGAGAGAGAGAGAGAGGTAGGAAGAGAGAGAGAAAGAGAGAGAGAGAGAGAGAGAGAGCAGGAAGGACGCAGAGGCAGGAGAGAAGAGCGAGCATTGCTTTCGCAACGGGCGTTTTCGCTTGGTTTCAGGACCTGGACCATCTCAGATCGTTCTGGCTCGAAAAATGCGACAGAAAAAGATTGGGTCTAGGGCTCTGCTCCTGATGTTTCGCGATGTAGCGCTTTTTGTCGCAACGCGGGATCACTGGGAGTCCCGGCTGCTTTCCTCGATTCCGGCCTCCGTGCCCGTGATGGGGTATAGGGCCACGGGGCCATCAGAAGCGGAGGCGCGACGAAAAACCGCCGCCGGAGTTCAGCGGCCGCGGATTGCACGAGTCACATCGGAGGATGTCTGGTGCTGTGCGCCTGCGCCAGCTCGTGGACACACGGCCGAGACGCTGAAAGAAGGACCGCTTGGGTTTCGGGCCGTCCCTGCAGCTCCGGGGTCGGGGAGCCCGCTCGTGGCCGAGGCTCGCCGTGGCCGGAAGAGCCCCTTCGTCCCTTCCTCGGCGTTCCCTGCGGCAGACCTGTGCACCGAGCCCAGGGACGAGCTCTGACTCGATCCCGTTGCCCGATGCGGTGCTGGCCGATCCTATCGTGGTGCTCCTGGCCCTCCTACTCCTCTTAGATCGGGCCTGTCCCTCCTCCTACGCTTAGATCGGGCCTGTCCCTCCTGCGGTGCTTGCTGTTCGTGGTCCTCCTCCTACTCTTAAATCGGGCCTGTCCCTCTACAGGAGGAATATTCAAAAATAGTCAAAGCATGGTCTGGGGGCGATTTTGGGAGCATTTGTTTTGATTATTTTCGAATATTGTTTGAGCATTTTGTTCCCAACCCTCCTTGTGTTGGGTACTCGTTTTGAATATAGCACTGTGGTATCCACCTCCCGCCCTCTCCTCCTTCTTCTCTCCTGTGTTCGCGGTGCCCTGCGGGGCTGCGATCTGCGCAACTAACTGTTGCCACTTTCGTGGGTTCCTGGGAGGCCCAGCGGAGGTACGCCCTACGCAAATCACTTTGAGGCCTCCCTGCCCCCTGCGGGGCTGCGATCTGCGCAACTGTCGCCACTTTCGTGGGTTCCTGGGAGGCCCAGCGGAGGTACGTCTTACGCAGAGCACTTTGAGGCCTCCCTGTCCCCTGCGGGGCTGCGATCTGCGCAACTGTCGCCACTTTCGTGGGTTCCTGGGAGGCCCAGCGGAGGTACGTCTTACGCAGAGCACTTTGAGGCCTCCCTGCCCCTTGGCGCACCTGGCGCGCACCTGGCGCACCTGGCGCGCTGCGCGCACCTGGCGCACCTGACGCGCTGGGCGCACGTGGCGCGCACCTGACGCACCTGACGCACCTGGCGCACCTGGCGCGCACCTGGTGCACCTGGCGCACCTGGCGCACCTGGCGCATCTGGCGCACCTGGCGCACTTGGCGCGCACCTGGCGCGCACCTGGCGCACTTGGCGCGCACCTGGCGCCTGGCGCGCACCTGGCGCACCTGGCGCACCTGACGCGCTGGGCGCACCTGCCGCGCACCTGGCGCACCTGGCGCGCTGGGCGCACCTGACGCACCTGGCGCACCTGGCGCACCTGGCGCGCCTGGCGCGCCTGGTGCAACTGGCGCACCTGGCGCACCTGGCGCGCACCTGGCGCGCACCTGGCGCACCTGGCGCACACCTGGTGCATCTGGCGCACCTAGCGCACCTGGCGCGCTGGGCGCACCTGGCGCACCTGCCACACCTAGCGCAGACCTGGCGCACCTGGCGCGCCTGTCGCACCTGGCACATTTGGCGCGCCAGGCGCGCCTGGCGCCACTGGCGCACCTGGCGCACCTGGCTCACTTGGCGCGCTTGGCGCAACTGGCGCACCTGGCACACCTGGCGTAATTGGCGCACCTGGCGCACCTGGCGCGCACCTGGCGCACACGTGGCGCACACCTGGCGCAACTGGCGCACCTGGCGCGCGCCTGGCGCGCACCTCGCGCGCACCTGGCGCGCACCTGACGCGCTGGGCGCACCTGGCGCACCTGGCGCGCTGGGACCACCTGGCACGCACCTGGTGCACCTGGCGCGCTGGGCGCACCTGACGCACCTGGCACACCTGGCGCACCTGGCGCACCTCGCGCGCCTGGCGCGCATGGCGCAACTGGCGCGCCTGGCGCACCTGGCGCACCTGGCGCGCCTGGCGCGCCTGGCGCGCACCTGGCGCACACCTGGCGCACCTGGCGCACCTTGCGCATCTGGCGCACCTGGCGCACCTGGCACACCTGGCGCACCTGGCGCACCTGGCGCACCTGGCACGCTGGGCGCACCTGGCGCACACCTGGCGCACACCTGGCGCACTTGGCTCACCTGGCGCGCCTGGCGCACCTGGCGCACCTGGCGCGCCTTGCGCGCCTGGCGCACCTGGCACATTTGGCGCACCAGGCGCGCTTGGCGCCACTGGCGCACCTGGCGCACCTGGCGCACCTGGCGCGCCTGGCGCGCTTGGCGCACCTGGCGTACGTGGCGCAACTGGCACCTGGCACACCTGGCGCGCTGGGCGCACCTGGCGCACTTGGCACACCGGGCGCACACCTGGCGCACACCTGGGGCACACTTGGCGCACCTGGCGCGCCTGGAGCATCTGGCGCGCCTGGCGCGCCTGGCGCGCCTGGCGCACCTGGCGCACGTGGGGCACCTGGCGCCCCTGGCGCACCTGGCGCACCTGGCGCACCTGGCGCGCCTGGCGCGCTTGGCTCACCTGGCGCGCATGGGCTTCTGGGAGGCTCAGCGGAGGTACGTCCTACGCAGATCACCACTATACCATGGCACCGAGATGTCCTTCGGTATTGAGTGGTCCTGAATGCACTTGCCACTGGTGTAGAAAAGGGTTGGGTACGTCGCAGGAGAATATTTTTCGTCTAGAATCGGCCTGTAGGGGGACATGCCCGACCAAATTCTACTCCTCGGTCTCGGCTTCCCTGCCGAGGCGGCCCCGATCCCGCGCACATTCCGATTCGGCCCAGCTTCCGATTCGGTGCTGGCCGGTGCTGTCGGGGCGCTCTTGGGCCTGTTGTTCCTGGTATTCCAGAGGCAACGGTAGGGGGGGATCGACTCAAGGGGGAGCGCATGGACCCCCAATCGCCCGTTCATCGCAGACAGGGGTCTGATACCCCACCCAACCCTGGCACGCTCGGATGCACAATCGAAGGCCGTATCGCAAATATTGGAGGGATGCGTCGCCGATTCCGGGTCGATGTCCCCCCCGAGTCCGTCTCCTTCGTATCGTTCTTCCTCGCGATCAGGGCCGGGCTCATCCTGGGCCCAGGATGATCGGTGGATGCGCCCACTGCTTCCGATACGATGAATTTGCTTTCAGGATCTTAGGCCCTGGTTTGGCTTTTCCTTCTCTGCAGGCCCGTGAGTGAAACAGATGGGCATGGTTCTCTTTCTTCTAGGAGAGGGGGTCAGTCCGAGGCCGGAATTTCTTCAGCTGCTTGCGGCCTGTCACTGTGTCGGTTCGCAGGCGGTTTGCCCTATGCCCTCTTCCTCCTCCGCCCCACTCTCCCTCCTCCTCCTTCCCCCCCCCGTCCCTCCTTTCTTTCCCCCTCCCCCTCAGTTCCCTCCTCGTCCTCCGTCCCCTCCTTGTCTTGCCCAGCAGCTCGGATCGGAAGTCGTCTAGTCGCAACGGCGATCGCGAAAAGCATAAGTGGGAGGGGGCAGGGAGTGGGGACAGGGGCCTTGCGTGGGCGGGACCTTGTAGACCAGCCCTCCTTCCCGTCCCCCTCTTCCTCTCTCTCCTCCTCCTCCTCTTCCTCCTCCTCCTTCTCCTCCTCTTCCTCCTCCTTCTCCTCTTCCTCCTCCTCCTCCTCCTCCTCCTCCTCTTCCTCTTCGCGTGCTGGGGCCTCGATGGGAGCCCGCCCCGCCGCGCCGGGGCGCCCTGCTGCCCCGCCAGGCCTACGCGATCCTGAGCCAGAAGTCCGCGCTCTGAGCCGGCCGCGCGCCATCCGCGCCCCGAGGCGGTGCGCAGAGCCGCCGGCGCCGCGGGGCCGTGCGCCCAGGTCTGGCGCCCGCCGGCGCCGCGGGTCGCCCCCAGCGAAACGCGTGCTCGGAGGAGGATCCGGGGCACTGTCAGTCGAGCAGTGGCGAAGCGTCCTGGCGTGCCACTAGGCCCACAGGCACATGTTCCAAGAGCCTCTCATGGTCTGCGCGAACTGTTTATCGAACACTTCTGGCTGAGACCGTCCTGTTTAAACACATCGGGCTTATGTTCTAATGACATTTTCGGGGCCTTAGAACATTTGGGGTTCTGAGAACAGATCGTGGTAGGCCTACAGGAATGCCGAGACGGTCGGTCCCTGCTCAAGTCAGGGGGCCCAGGGGGGTGCGCATCGGCCCCCAATCGCCCACTGATTGTCGAGAGGGGCCCGATAGCCCACCCCGCCCAGGACCGTGGGGATTCGCCATCGGGGGCCTGTTGCCGATCTATCGGCGATGCATGGCCGATTCCAGCCCGATGTTTCCCGCCTGAGCTAACTATGTTTTTCGGTTTTCGGACGTTTTTCGTCGGCTCTCGGCGATTTGCCAGCCACGGGATGCGCTCCAGCAGCTGCGCCTCGCCGAGAGGCGTCCAGGGGGTCCCAAGTCGCTCCGAACGGCCGCCACAGATTCGAAGTATCGGCTACAACTCATTGGGACGGTGGTGGACACCAGGTGGGGATGCCTCAGCCTAGAGTCGAGAGCGGCGGCCTTCCCTGCGCTTTTCGTCCTTTCTGGGCTCTCTGGGGGCTTCTCGTGGCGTCGGCCGGATTCACGTCCAGGAACAGGTCAGGGTGGATCCCTCTCCCGAGGGGCCCAGGGTTAGATTCTGGGCCGGGTGGGAAGGCCGCCACTCACTCAGCGATCGGCTCAGGTGGGGATGCACCGACCCCAATCGCTCATTGATCCCTGACAGGGGCCCGATGTCCAGTCCGTCCAAGAACCTGGGGTTTTGGTATCGGTACCCTACCGCAGATCCATCGGCGATTTCACCTCGATGTTCCCCCCACCTCCCCCGAGGAGGAGGAGGACGAGGAGGAGGAGGACGAGGAGGAGGACGAGGAGGAGGAGGAGGAGGAGGAGGGGGAGGAGAAGGAGGAGGAGGGGGAGGAGGAGGAGGGGGAGCTGGTCCCCGCCCTCCCGAGCTGGTCCCCCCCGACCGTTGTTTTCGGCCTCCCGGGGCCCTTCCCAGGCCCCGGGGCCGTCGGAGGCCCCTGGGGCTGCAGCAGGGCGCGGAGAGCCAGGGGCGCCGTTCGGGGCGGATCGGGAGCCCCAGACGGCGTGGTGACAAGAGCGTGTGGTGGTTTGGCGGGGGTTCGGAGTGACCCTGGGCGCTAACAGGCCCCGAGGCCCTGGGCGCTAACAGGCCCCGAGGCCCGCACCTCCGAGCGGGGTGCGCCTGCACGGTAGTTCCTGCAGGCAGGGCGGAGGCGAGCAGGCCTAGACATCGCACTCCAAAAAACGAGCGTGTGGTGGGTTGGTGGGGGTTCGGAGTGACCGCGCGGTTTTGGCACGCGGGTCATTCTCCGAGGGTGCCTCGGGCGATTGGGGCCTCATGGCCCCAAACACTTTGAGGTGACGGACTGCGCGGCGAGGCCTTTGGGGATTTCGAGGTCGCCGAAGGTCCGCCACCGCACCGGCTTGGAACCGCCAATTTCCAAGGTCCATTTCGATCCGATCGATCCGATTCGATACCGATCCCGGTCAGCCCGACCCGATTAGATTCCGATTTTTTTAAAGATTTTATTCGGCCTGATGCGTTCACGGCGCTGGTGTGCGTCCTGGCACGGCCGATCCGATTCGATTCCGACTCCGTGCCGATGCGGTTCGATCCGGCTGACGTTCCGATTCGATCAGATCTCTCCATTCGATACTGGCTGACCCTGCAATCCAAGGGGACGCGAAGAGCGCGGGGCGCCTTGAAGCCAGGAAACCGTTCTTGGGCACGTTTCCTGGAGGTACACTGTGCCTCCAGGAAACGTGCCGCCGCCGTGTGGGAGTGCCTCTGGGGACGGCCACTTCACAGACGGCGCCAGCGCGAACCGTGGCGTGACCAGGCAGGGGGGAGGGGAGGGTCCTCCTCCTCCTCCTCCTCCTCCTCCTCCTCCTCCTCCTCCTCCTCCATCTCCTCCCCCTCCCCCTCCTCCTCCTCCTCCTCCTCCTCGGGGCGGGGCCGGTCGCTGGCGTCATCGCGAAGGGGCTCCAGGCTGCCGGCCAGACAGCGTCGGGGCCCCCTGCTCGAGCTCGCAGCGCCGGGGCGGGCGGCGATGCCGCGGCGCGCCCGTGCCGCGGGGCTGCTGCTGGCGCTCGGCGCGGCGGCGGGCCGCGCCGCGGCCGCGGAGCCCGCGGGCGGCGAGGGCAGCTGCGAGGCGCAGCGCCACCGAGACTCAGGGGGGAGGAGTAAAACGACGCGAAGGTCGGGACAAAATCGGATCGGGATGACTCGAAATCTCTGAGAATGGGCGGGTTTGGAGGATGTGTTGGGCGCCGCGGCCGCTCCAGAGCGTTCCGGAACGCTCTGAGAGCGGTCCGGAACGCTCTGGAGCGATTTATCCCGATCCTAGCCCTGTTTTAAGGAGAGGGCGCCGATGTGCCAGACGGGCGCGCGCCGTGGAAGAAGCACGACGGGAGTTTTTGGTGCACCGCTTTCGGTCTCCAGGGGCCCTCGCCGTGCCCTTGGGGCCGTCAACAGAGCGGCCCCGAAGGAAGAATGTTGGCCCCGGGGAAGGGGTCGGGTCGGGACGTCTGGGGCCCCGTAGTGAAAAAACAGGGCATCGCTTGTCTGGTGCCGCGGAGAGATCCTCGTCGAGAAGCAGGCCCAGGCACTGGAGCCTGGAGGGGCGCGCGGTCGGGCTTTGAGCGGACGTGGGCCCTGGCCGGGAGGGGCCTGGGCACCTCCGGGGCGGCGGCAGGGGCGGATTTGGCCACGGATGCTGGGTGTTGGACTGGCCTGCCTCCGAGGAGGCAGGGTCCGGAAAAGAGGAGGGGGCGAAACAGACAGCAGCCACGCGTGGCCACCCGTGAGGGCAGCCACGGAAAAAGCCACCCAGGGCGACAGCCACGAACAGCGAAGAGGCAGGGTCCGGAAACGAAGAGCGGGCGAAACAGACAGCAGGCGCCACGCGTGGCCACCCGTGAGGGCAGCCACGGAAAAAGCCACCCAGGGCGACAGCCACGAACAGCGAAGAGGCAGGGTCCGGAAACGAAGAGCGGGCGAAACAGACAGCAGGCGCCACGCGTGGCCACCCGTGAGGGCAGCCACGGAAAAAGCCACCCAGGGCGACAGCCACGAACAGCGAAGAGGCAGGGTCCGGAAAAGAAGAGGTGGCGGAATAGAGCAGCCACGAGTGGCCACCCGTGAGGGCAGCCGCGGAAAAAGCCACCCAGGCTGACAGCCACGAACAGCCACCCATACCGAGCAAAGCCTGGGCACTCGGGAGCGCATCGGGCCCCCAATCGCCCTTCTCGTCGCCGACCGAGGCCTGGGTTGCCCCGGCCTGCCCATGGAGCGATCGGCTTGCCCACGGTGGGCCTGCGGCCGATCTGTCTCAGGAGGGGAAAAAACACACAGACACAATCAATCGTCGTTTCCCGTGGAAAATATAGGAAAATATTGGAAGTGGGGGGAAAAATATAAGAAAATCTAGGGAATCCTTTTGTTAGTGTGTATTTATTTGTGTGTCCCAGGGCCCCTTCACTGTCGGCGAAGCGCTGCCGGTTCCAGGTGATTGTCCGCACCCCTGGGAGAGCCTCCCCCCCAGACTCGCAGGCCTAGAGGTTGACACCAACACCAATAATTGTCGGCGATGCGCCTCCACCGAGGGAAGAAGATCCCGATCTCGGTGATGGTGGTAATATTCTGGCTTCCAAGGTGACCGAAATATTACCACCAACACCGAAATCTAGGATCATCTTCCTCCTGTGGAGGCAAGCCCTGTGTTGGTGCTGGTGCCCATTTCCAGGCCTCCAAGAGACATGATCACGTCGTGACGAATTTCAGATTGGGCCATCTTCGGCCTCGGGGGGCCCTCGCCGGGCCTCGGGACCGTCAACAAGATTGCTCAGGATGAAGAACCGGTCCCGGGGAAAGGGTCGGGATCTCCAGGGACCCCGTGTCGAAAAAGTCCAGACGTCGCATGTCTGGGCCCCCTCCTCTCGGCTCCCCTCACCCGGGGGTGGGGGGGCGGTATCCAGCAGCGGCTGGAGCGGCCGGTCCCTTAGCAAACCGGGCCCTTCCGCGGCAGCCCCCCGCGTCTCGCGCCGCGACGCGTGCAGGCGACCGGAGGGGGGGGCCTCGAGGACAAGGGGCTCGCGTCGTTCGAAGGGCCCGTCGCGGAAGGGTGTCTGCCAGGCCGCGCCCCGGCGGTGGTTGGGGGTGCTGCTCGGCGGCGCGCAGGAAAAGGGTGGCCGGAAGGTGCGGCTGCCGTGCCGGCAGGGGTGGTGGCAGGGAAGCGCCGCTGTCGCGCGGGGATGGCGCAGGGAGATTCAGGAGGAAAAGAAACACACAGACACAATTATCCTGGCGAAGGACCCAACCATCTGCAATTGTGAATACTGCAATTGTGAATATCTTCTCGGTGGAGCCCCCTACGGGGCCACGAAACGTATGAGGGGTGTGCCGAAATGGGTGTGCGGGACGCATGCGGGCACACCCACTGGGGCCTTCGGTGGAGCTCTCTATGGGGCCAAGAAACGTGTGAGGGGTGTGCCGAAATGGGTGTGCGGGACGCATGCGGGCACACCCACTGGGACCTTCGGCGGAGCTCCCTATGGGGCCACGGAACGCGTGAGGGGTGTGCCGAATGGGTGTGGCTGACGCATGCGGGCGCGGGCACTGGGGCCTTCGGCGGAGCTCCCTATGGGGCAGAAACTTGTGAGGGGTGTGCCGAAATGGGTGTGGCTGACGCATGCGGGCGCGGGCACTGGGGCCTTCGGTGGAGCTCCCTATGGGGCCACGAAACGTGTGAGGGGTGTGCCGAAATGGGTGTGGCTGACGCATGCGGGCGCGGGCACTGGGGCCTTCGGTGGAGCTCCCTATGGAGCCACGAAACGTGTGAGGGGTGTGCCGAAATGGGTGTGGGTGACGCATGCGGGCGCGGGCAATGGGGCCTTCGGTGGAGCTCCCTATGGAGCCACGAA